AGTGTTATTGTTGTGGTATAATATTTATCTGTCAATAAATAACTAAATGTATAGGTACATAATTCTATGTACTGTCAATCATCTATACAACTCGGAACTTTATTTTTATTTTATAAAGTTATTTATATGTAGGTATAAAAAAAAATTCATTTATTTTTTAGTTGTACCACCACCATCATCATCGCCAATGCGATATTATGAATACAACTTACACGTAACAACAATATTGGGTAAGATTTTATTTATCAACCATTTTATTTTAAATAAAGCATAATTTGGTATTTTAGATTCTGAGCGGAGCGATGAATGTATTGGTTTTACAATGATGTATGTTTTTTTTTATATTTTTATATTTTTGTGTCTGTCATCACGTTTTAGGACAGTAAAAGTGCTTCGATTTTCTTCAATAGTACCTTTTCTGATAGGAAAGTGAATCTAGTTGGTACTTTGGGAGGTCAAAAGTATAAATTTCCCAGTAGTTTTCACAAGCGCCGGGAAAAACAACATAAAAATTAAGGAAAAACGGGAATTTTTACGCAAAATTGGTTTTCCAAAAAATCGATTTTGGTTATTGGTGTAAATCTAAAACAAATGAACGTATATACATGAAATTCTCACTGGTTGTTTATATTTGCATTTTCTATACACGATAACATTTTCAAAATATTTTGATTTATTTTGAACTGTTTAGGGACATTTTCATTTTCCATTTTTTTTTAGTTTTTTTTCTAAAAATATCAATAAAATTTTATTTGTTGGTTGCGAAAGCTTGAAAATTTAATAGAAGGCTCCTAATATGTTGTTTCAAAGGCAGATGAAAAATATTAAAAATCCTTTGTCACAATTTTTTTTTATAAGCATTTAAAGTTCAAAAATTCACAAAATATGGAAAAATCACGAAAATTAGCAAATTATTTTGAGTTAAGAATTCGTCAAAATTTTTCTTTTTAAATCTAAGATTTGAAAATGAAACACAAGATTCCTTATAAGATTATCTACCTTTATCAATAAAAAAATCTCTACCGGACAGTCAAGTTAAATTTTTATGAGCGTTTGAAATTCAAATTTTTACAACATTGGATATTCACTCGATTACTCATGTAGCGATTTCTTTATTTTGTTGCAATTCAAAAACGAACAACTGTAGATACATGAAAATTTCACTGAATGTTTAAATTAGCATTTTCTATACACCATACAATTTTGAAAATATTTTGACTCTTTTTGAGCTGTTTATGGACATTTACAGCTTTCAATTTTTTTAGTTTTTTTTTCTATAAATATCAATAAAGTTTTATCTGTTGGGCCAAAAAGTGTAAAAATTTAATACAAGGCTCCTGATATATTGTTACAATATCAGTTGAAAAATATTAAAAATACATAGGCACGATTTTTTTTTATAAGCATTTAAAGTTGGAATTTTGACAAAATTTATCAAAATATCGAAAATTATCAATCGTTGGAATTAAAAAATTATAAAATGTTCAGTTTTTATAACTAAGAGTTGAAAATTTAAAACAAAGATTCTCTTAAATAATTCATACTGTAACCAAAAAATCTAAAAAATATATAAACACACTTATTTTTTACAGACATTTTAATTTCAAATTTAGACAAAATTTCATATTTAAACCAAGAATTACGATTTTAGTTATTTTGTTGTGATTGAATAATATTATTCGTGGGTACTTGAAACTTCTAAAGTGTACTATTATAATATATCTATGATAGTATCACGGTTTTTGTTGATGTATAACGCGTTATAAGTATCTAATGGATATTGTGATATGATTAGTTTGGAATTTATTATAGGTACCTATTATAGGTCAATTTTTTGTTTAATACCATAGATATGTATATAATATGTCTTATACATAGACTGACATACCGTCACCGCTCAGAATCGTTTTTCTTATACAATGATATTATATCATTGAATTCAAATTTAATACTATCCATTATACAGTGACCCACTTGTAACCTACTGTACAGCAGAGCGACACCCACTTGCCCACCTTTTTTATTTTAGTGCTTTGTTTATTTTACTTGTAATAATCACAAAAAATAAGTTCTTCTAAAATGTGTTGATTGTCAGTAATTACATGGTTAACTTATTTTTACACTTGAAGAAAGGCGGACCTTTTGAATTGCATACTTTATAATATTTATATAAACCAATAAACACTGCAATTTTAAGAACTATTTTAGTTCGGCCGTAGCGTTCATCATGAACACTCGTACGCTGCATCGTATATCGTATACGCTCCGTTATCGCCTCGCGCGCTCATTAGTAATTTATTACGGTCATTATTAACTATTAGTTCCAATTATATAATATTATAACAACAATTTAATATGAACAACGTACAAAAAGCCGGTCCCGCTTCACCGCTTACACCAAAATCCACAAAACGAAATTTGTCAACCTCGTCAACTTCGCCAAGACAAAACGACAAAAAATCCAAATTCTATGTTTCATCAAATCGCTATGCCCCACTCTCCACTGATGACACCGTTGACATAGCTCCTACTTCGTCTTCAACCAACCCCAAGGATGATCCTGTGAACCAGACTCACACTGAACGAGACATGGGGCCTCCAGCTCCACCTATCTATATCAAAAATATTGTAAACTACTCCGCTTTCAATAAACTCCTAACAAACATCACCAATTCGAATGGCTTTACCTGTAGGTCAACGCCGTCTCACCTCATCGTGCAACCAGCTGGTCGTACAAACTTCAATAAAATCATAGACCACTTACACGAAACTAACGCCAGTTTTCATTCATACACCCCCCGTCACCTTCGCACATACAGGGTCGTTATCAGAAACCTGCACTCTACCACCTTAAGCAATGACATTATCAGTGCATTGGCTGAGTTGGGACACTCAGTCAAACACATATACAACGCCAAAAATAAAAACAAATGTCCCCTACCTTTATTCTTTGTGGATATCTTAACACAAGACAATAACAAAGACATCCTAGACATCAAGTCTTTACTCAATACTAAAGTATTGATTGAGAAACCACACAAAAAGAGACGTGTCCCACCACAATGCCACAACTGTCAATCCTACGGACACACGCGAAATAACTGCTGTCACAAACCTAAATGCGTTAAATGTGGTGAAAACCACCTTACAAAAGAGTGTTCTACAGACCGACATAGTCCCGCCAAATGTGCACTTTGCACTAAGGAACATACTGCTAACTTCAAAGGATGTCCAGTCTACAAAGCTGCCTACAAAAAAACCGTCCATCCAGCCAAAGGATCTGATTCCAACACCTATCAAAAAACCAAATCTTACGCCGAAGCCACCAAAAATCACCAAAATTTAAACGCGGAACTCAAATTCACCGACACTCTCTCAAGTATTATTTCCAATTTAAACTCACTAATTACTCCCCTTATCTCACTTCTTTCATCAGTCCTAAAAGCACTCACAACTAATAGCATTCCATAATCTTATCGACCAGTCAATTCACATTAAAACTTAATTAATAATTAAAATTTATATTTATTTAATATCTTATCTCCCATTATTTTCACTCCACAACAACATCACCATTAATTTCTGTTAATGAAAAATATGAAAAATGTTAATATAATGTAAATGTTTAAAAAAAAAAAAAATTGTAAAAACAAACACTTTGTTGAAACAATTATAATTTAATAATTAAAAAAAAAAAAAAGAAGAACTATTTTCCTGTCTTATGTGTGGTCAATTTTGCAGCATTGCTGTATTGTATGATCTCCTCGTCTTTAAGACCCACAAATAACTTTAGAGATTGTCTAGCACAATAGTTCACTGTTTTTATGCTTTCAAACTGCATACTCCTTACAAGCCGCTTTTACAATCTTTGAATCTTCATTCCTTGGAAACTAGGAGGTTACAATTTGGTTTATTTTTTCTCCATCAAGTGTTATTTCGCTGCCGTGATGGTTACCAGTTGGCAGTCGTCACCTTTGTAATTTTAGAGGTACGGATAATAGAGTGGTTTTACTAATTACACTATTCTACGGAACTAACTATTCAATTTAGAACGAATATAACTTTAGTAATATTTAATAAGGGCAAATGCGTGTGTTGGTTTTGCTGCTATTTACTAGTTATATAGTAGATTTGCAAATATTAAAAAAAGAAACATAGATCTTGTTTTGTAAATAAAAAGTTGCCTTGTTCTAATAAATGTCTAACAATTTTGTGAGGGGAGTGTTGTCCTACCTTAGTATTATCCCCCTGAGGTGAAGTCTCCATATGCCACTTTGATCGTGTGAATAACCGCATTTAGGAGTCTTTTAGGTGGTGTGTGGAGGTATATGTAGTTGTAAGTGGATTGAGCCTGTTGATCTTTGAAACGGTGCACGTATTCTACGTGTCACCTTTACGTAATAACGGATAACTCTTATTTTATTTCAGTATAAAATGTACTTGTTTATTTCCATTAGGTATATGAATGAATTATATATTTTACAATAGGTGGGAGGGGTCCGAAGGCCAGCTGATCATCAGGATCCTCGTACAAAAATGTTTTTCCTTTACATGGTTAGATACAATTTATGGAATGGGGAGGAGGCTTAACACATTAGGCCCGCTTTTAAAAGTGGCGTCCGCTCTATGAGCCTCATCCGGTATGCGTGACCGTAACAAGAGCTCTTGGGAGGTCTATGTATGTATAGTTATTCTGAGAAGGACAATTTTCATGTATTTCCCTTGGTTATCCTACAGTATTAGCCGGATGAGTTCAGCTTGGGCGTCGTTGGAGCCGGTGTCCCCGTCGGTCTTGGTGAACTATTACGGCGTTGCCTGTATTTACGGCTTGACGCGGATTGTTAGCACTTCGAGGACTTCGTCAGGTATCTATGGGTGAGACATGTCTGATAGCCGATTAGCCCTGAGTAATACTAACAAGGTACATGCCGTTAGTCGTATGGTATAGGCAACCCGGAGCTTGCGGAAGTTTTGAGTTAGACTAATGGTGCTATTAGCATTTAGAAGTTGATTTGACGATTTACGTAATTTTCTGTGATTGAAGTTCTATTGCTGATGTCGGAGATGTAGTTGTGAGGGGATTGTTGTATTTTAGTTTTGACGGAGTTAGTTAGTGACTGAAGGTTATCCTTGATAAGTGAAGGCCAATGGAGTGGCGAAGCGCTCTGTTGTTCACTAACCATGGTTGTCCAGTGATTTGGCGGAGAGAGGTGGATTGGAGCCTTTCGAACTTGGGCCAGCTGTTGTTTGAACTGTTGGAGGCCTAGATAGGCGATGGAACGGATGTTAGTCTTGTATAAGAAGCATTTAGTGTTAATGCTTAAAGTTGGGCTAGATAGCATGGGATATAAAGAGTGTTTGACTGATTTGGATTTGTTAATAGTGGAGTTGTTATGTTTGAAAAAATTTAGCTTTTGGTCAACATGAACACCGTTTACTTCATGGAGGTGGACCATTTGATGCTGGTGTTTTTGATTTTGGGCTGGATGGAGTTTGAGGTGATTTGTGAGAGTACATTACTGCAGTGGTTTTGAGAGGATTTGTTGAGATTTTCCAGTCGTGGAACCACCTTTCAGCTACTTCGATCTGCAGTTGTAATTTTTTGGTGGCAGCGTCGTTGGAAGTGCTGTTGGCGTAGAATATAGACTGCCGTCAGCGAAGGGTGTGGTTTTGCAACTGGGATGAGATGGCAGATTATTTATGTTTAGGCAGAATAGGTTTGGAGCGAGGCAGGAGCCTTGATGCACTCCTGCTCAGATTTTGCGTGGAGTGGATAGTTTACCCTCAATTTTAATTTGGAAATGTCAGAAAGGAAATAATGATTGAAATTGTACTTCCAAAGAGTCATCAAGAAGAGCGGCCTTGTGGTCTGGATCGAAGTTGAAGTTGCCTGCTGTGAGGGCGAGATGGTGGAGGTTTACGAAGCAGTGCCCGATTGAGTTTGAAGAAGCAAGACCAGGCCATTGGGGCCTTCGTTCAGAAAGCCGAGGAGATTGCTCCATTGATTGTTGCGATGTACTGCCATGAGTTGTTTGACTTAAGTGGTTTGGCGGTTGAAGGAGGTTTTGGCGTCCGGGTCCCTGGATCTTTGCTAGCGAGATCGTAGGCTGCGTTTCAGACTAATTTCGAGCTGCAGCTGTTTGGGTAGAACTCTGGAGCCTTCTTGAGATGCAGATTGAGAGGTGTGGGTGGCTATGCCGTTCGACATAATTGACGTTAGGTTTTTGATCACTGGACGATGAGTGGGTGACGGAGTCCAATGAACAGCTTTAATGCGGCCCAATCGGTGACGTGTTTAGGTACAGGGGGGCACGAGGATGCCATGGTTGAGTGGAGTTTGAGTACAACTGGAGTGTGGTCTGAAGAGAGGTCAGATGGCAGGTTTGCGATGTGATAGTGAATGTTGTTGGCTTTGATGATGGCGATGTCTAAGATGTCTGGACTGTGGTTGGGGGTGTTTAGGTAGTGTGTTGGAGTGATTGGAAAAGCGACTGTTAGATCATTTCTAGAGTTGATGAATCTGGCTAGAGTGTTGCCGGCCGTGTTGGTCCTCCTACTGAGCCATAGCTAGTGTTTGCTGTGTAAGTCACCTGCTACGATACTGTTGTATGCAGTGTCCAGTAAAGCAGCGAGATCGGATGGAAGAAGTATGTTAGTTGGTCTTTTGTATGCAGCAACCAGGCGGAGGACAGAGTTGTTGAATTGTATGTGCACCGTGGTTTGTTCTAAGGATGTGATTTGAACAGTGATGAGGTGATGAGTGTACTTTTTGTGCACGAGTATAGCGGTGCCGTCTCCAGCTGAGTGGCCGGGAGTTTGAGGGGAATTTGAGGTGTATGTGAAGAAGTTTGGAATGTTGATTGAACGTTGATCAGTGAGGTGGGTCTCGTTGAGAAGCAGAATGTCGATTTTTTGTTGTTGAACGAAGTCTCCGTGTGACGCCTTGGCAATTCCAGAATAATATGCGGGTGTTACTCATGTTGAAGGCTGGTGAGAATGAGTGGCAGAATGGTCAGCAGGGCGATGAGGGCATCTTTCACCTTCATTTTGTTCGAGGCAAGATTAGAAATGATGGTGGTGAGTTGAGAGGCCAAGGATTCTGAGTCAGTGGAGACTGCAGTGTCATTTGTGGTTATGGAGGCGTATGTGCTGAGGCTGGCCGGAGAAGCTCGACTGGTCGGTTGACTCGTGAGGGCAGAAGAAAGTGGGTTGACTGATGAAGATGATGATGTTTGAGTGACTATTTTAGAAGTGTTGGGTCTAGTGGGACGTCTTCTATCCTTTTCTTGAATAAGTGAAGGGCAGTTCTTGTAGTTGGCTGTGTGAGATTCGAGACAGTTGGTGCACGTAGGTGGTACATCGAGAGTCTTTGGACAGTTTTTGGCCAAATGACCCTGATCGCATTTAACGCACCCAGGAGTGTATCCGCAGTGAAGGCTAGAGTGTCCGAACCTCTGGCAGGAGTAGCATTGGGCGGGGTTGGTGGATTTGAATGGTTCAATTTTATAGGGCTATGCAAAAAAGAGTGTTCATTGAAAATTTGTTTTCTGGAAGGCGATTAGGCAAGAATCGCCATGTGAAGGGGGAATTTGAGAGTTGTATTGCCGAATTGACGAACTGATTTTTCACGTCGTATCTTTTGGCTTTGAGTTCATCCGAGACCTCCAGTTTGGTGATGTCCGAGAGTAGGCCACGGATAACAATTTTTATTGTTCTATCCTCTGGAGATGGAACAGTGTGGAATTCAGTATCATATTTCTGAAGATATTTTTAAACAATTCTAAATAGTTCAATATCAATGCACTGGAGCTTAATAGAGTGGTTTTTAGATGCCTTGGCTTGAATGCTGTCAAGTGGAACAGCAGATAAAAATTTAGCTGCGGCTTTGAGCCAAGCGGTGCCTTGGATGAAGATCGGTGGATTTTTTAGAGCTGAAGGTGGTAGTGGTAAGGTGGTAATAGGCTCAGAGTCAGCTATGCGCAAATTGATGATTGTTTCCGATGCAGCTCTAGCCTGACTGGCTGGCCCAGATGACGGAGATGGATTGAACGATGTAGCCGGAGGGTGACTGGCTGATTGAGAGCCGGAGTCTGACGTGATACATGATGAGCCCGACAAGCACTCCGAGTCCGAAGAAAGGGTGACGGTGGAGCTGAACGTTGTCGTTGTACGTCCTGCGTCGGCGGTGGTGAAAAAGCCATGTTGCAGGTTTTTTTTTGGTTGGTGAGTGGAGGAGTCTGGTTCCTTTTGTCACCGGCTGTGCGATTGCCCATGATGTCCTGTGCTGAATATGTCGTTGAGTGAGATTTGGTAGGCAGGGGTGGGGTACGTTACCATACGTTGGGCCCGCTTAAGTAAGTGGCGTCCATTCCGTAGGTACCGACCGGGTAGCGTGGCTTAAGCAACCGCGCAGGGGTGGCTAGTTTGGAGCTCTGAACGCTGGACGTAGTCTGGGTTGAACGTCCATTGTGGAATGCACCGGTATATAAACCCATTCACCGCTGTATTCCGGTTTCTTATAGGCTGACAACCCTTTGGTTGGGCAATGCCAACTACCCTCGTTTCGACGGTCATTTGTTTATAATGGTGTTGTTTTCCATCGGCAGAATCCATATATCTGTCAAAAGTCTCATGTCTCCTTCCATCTGATACTATATGTTGGCCATCAGAATGCCCGTTGAATGTAAGATGTGTGTATTTGTCCTATAACAGCTTGTTAGTGAACTTTGGAAATTTGTAGCTAGCGCGCTTACAATAATATGATCTTGTATTTTAATTATTTTTAGGTCTTTATGAAGGTTTCTGTTATGTAATATGTATGAACCATGGTGCTTTTGTTATAACTTTGTAGCTTTTTGTACCAGGCCTCTCTTCTACGGATTGCTTTATTATACATATAGTGTAATATGTGACATATATAGAGACGGTAGGTACCTATAAGTGTATATGTCGCATCCACTTAGTGAAATCGCTCATTTCATGAAGTGGATGTCCACTTCATGAAATGTATCCATTTAGTGAAAATGACATTTTACTACACTATATGGACAATTTGTTGACCTTTTCATGAAGTGGATGAAATTCATTTTATCCACATTCTGTAATAGTATTACTATTATACATGAGTATTTTTGGTATTGGTATTGAACGATTTGCACTAGGTAATTGTGTATAATATGATAATAATTAAATAATATAATATAGGTAACCTAAAATAATGAAGTATAAAAATTAAATTAAAAGTTTTCTTAAACTTTATTTTATATTTTTTTTTTAAAACAGGCACATCTTGATGTTTTACATTTGGTATTGGGTAATTGTTCGAATTGCACTAGGTACCTAATTGGCTCTAAAATAAATATAAAAGTTGCTTGATATAATTTGTAACTTGTATACTGTATAAACTGGTCCGTCAGTCGATCAGGTAATTTCAAGATAAGATATCAAATAATTGAATATGATTGAACAGATACATAGTAATATACAGATAATGTATGATCCTGACATCCAGTTGACAATTGTGTGGTAATGGCTATTCCAAAAGTCGACAAAGAGCCTACAGATCCACCAAATATTTTATGTTTAGTTGTTGAAAAAAAGAATAAACTGTTTGAGTTAGGGACTAAACATGAAATGATTAAAGGATGGTAAGGAGGAGATTCCTTAAAAAAATGTGAGAAGTTTTTAACGAGTGACGAGGTTTTGTTGGACAAAGTGCTAACTATTCGAGAGACTGTTAAAGTCACAACAGGTGGACAAGGCTTTTCTTCTTGTTCATGTAATTCAAAGCCCATGTCAAAAATCAAGATCTGTCTGTTTTTAAAGAAAAATGTTGTGCAATAGTCGTTGCCATAACTCTGAACCATGTAAAAATAAATAATATAAAATATAAAATAAATTTTAAGAAAACTTTTAATTTAATTTTTATACTTCATTATTTAAGGTTACCTATATTATATTATTTAATTATTATCATATTATCCACAATTACCTAGTGCAAATCGTACAATTACCCAATACCAAACTCGTAAATAACCTAACTCGTATATAATAGTAATATTACAGAATGTGGATAAAATGAATTTCATCCACTTCATGAAAAGGTCAATAAATTGTCCATATAGTGTAGTAAAACGTTATTTTCACTAAATGGATACATTTCATGAAGTGGACATCCACTTCATGAAATGAGCGATTTCACTAAGTGGATGCGACATATATAACCTTTCACAACGGCTGCTGATAAAGTATGTGAGAGTTAGTGACTTTTTAAGGCCACCAAAACCACCCATGACGAAAGGGGAACACTTTCCTCATGACCTGTGAGCCGCACCGCGTGAGA